GAAACAAAAGAATATGTTGCTTGGTTTTGAGGCTAACACAGAGCAAACACAGAGATAAAAATTGGAGTATTCTCTATTAGTTACGTTGTTTACAGCCAGGTAAAATGGTTTTTCGTCGTGATTCGTTCATTAATTTTTTGCATGCTTTTCATCATTCTTTAGCTTGGAATGAGGACGGCCCTTGGATTGGTCTGAACGACCAAGAAGACACCAGCAAATTGGGTTGGTCTGACGGTACCCATGTTGTCCAGCCCATACCATTCCTTACTGACAAGCCTGAACCAGCCATCTCTCTACGGAAGTGTGTTCTCCTTGGTAAAAATGGGAAGTGGTTGGATAAATTGTGYAACATGAAGAATTCATTCATCTGTGAGAAGCGGATAACTTATTAAGTAACTAACTTGAAACTTGAACTTTGATAAGTGAACACTTTCGATGATTTGTCATTCTATTTTTCTTCCGATTTTGAATTCAATCGATATTCAGAGATTTTGCATGACGCATTTTAATATGTTAATGAGAGAAAAAAAAAATTAAATTACACAATTACAAGGAACACCAAAATAAGTATTGTTGACTACAGATACTATGTTGGCAAGCAAAATGGATTCTTTTCTGGTGCTTGAACTAATAGTCAGGAGAAAACGAGTTTTGGCTCACAATTTATAAATCTAATACTTAGATCTAGTTAAAACAAAGAAAAACTTGCAGAAGTCACTAAAACGTCCTAACAACTAGTTTGCTAATTAACACGTTACAGTTTATTTACTTTACAAGCTATATTATTTTAATACATCAAGCAAATAAATCCTCTCGTAATTGCCATGTTTCATTATTACGTCATAGTATGTTTACATAGGGACAATATTCTGGAAAACGTTGGAAATTCGGACCCATTTATATTCTCTCCGCAAGTTGAACTTCAGTTTATCGTGTTTTGGTATATGCCATGAATCAAAGATCGCTTATGTTCATTATTTGATATGTAGTCATGATCAGTCTGACAACCATTATCCCTTGTATTAAAGCAACAGAATGTTATGATGTGACGTCATAATGAAATAGGGCGAACCTCATTCGTTATTTTACTTTATTATCACCTAAAATGTGTCATGTGAAAGCAAGCCAAAATTATCAAGTCATAATTATAGAATATTGATATTTGCATAATTTTATTCAAGGTTGATAATTTAAACAACATTGTACCATGATGCTTAAATGGACATGGTCCACTAGCAACCCTTACGAGCTTTTGCTCATGTTTGAGAATAAATATCCATCGTAAAATAAGAAAAAAAAAACTTATTATTTATTATCCCTTGACCCTATATGTGAATGGATATACTGTACGATTCGACGCCTTAACCGATGGATGGAAACGAACTGATGGATATTTGAAGTAACCTCATTTTCCACAATGAAAAATCGACAGCATTGAATGCTGATGGACAATGTCCCTTTAAAAGTGCATGTCTTAACATAACTTCAATGACTATAATGAAAACACTTTTGTGATTTTATGCACATTTCGGCAGTCATAACACGGAAAAGTGAGGAAATAAACTTGACTATATAGTCAATAAAAAGAAAAAAAGATTATAATTAAGCAAGCCGTACCCATGGACACCGCTCCATATAATAACTTCTCTGTGGTTTATTCTTACGAATAAAAGTATAAACACTGTTAGTCAAATTTTATTGTCATTTACTTTTGGAAATGGTTCACGATAAAGTTTATCCTTATAGTCTGTCATGGTTACCATGTGGCAAACTTATTTTTGAAACTCCTATCACCTTACGCGGAAAAGGTTTTGAAAATTCACTTTAAATTTCTGGCTTTCAGTTAGTTTAGAACTGAGATTCTCCACAGGAGGAGCAGATTGGTTCTTTTCTTCTGAATAACTGTTCTTGTATGATTATTTTTTCCTGGGGAAAGGGATAATGAGCTACATTGTTGGATGGAAGATGTGTATATTGGTTGTTTTTGGAAGTACACCGATTAATAAAATTTGAGCAATTCATGATCAGATTTAAATGTTTCTATTTAGATATATGTATTGTGTTTGCAAAATTATGTAGTTTTTTTAGCAAATATGATTCAATTTCAAGAAGATCAGCAATGGGCAATATTTTTTTATCAAAATAGATTCCAATAATTCTGCGAAAATTAATCATCCAATAATTCTATGCAGAAATAATTGCATCTCTGCACAATTCATCCATATAACTTCTGCAATCATTTTTGCTTACTCAAAATTATTTTTAACATAAAGAAAACAAAGCGAGGATTTCCAAATTTGTACCGAAAATTAAAGTCACAAAGTTTATCTTTACAAAACAAATACTGAAATTCAGGATAGAAAACATTCGAGCATTCCAACAAAAGGGTGAAAAAAATATCAAAAGACTTGCCCATCCCTAACCTTATCCAAACTGTTAATTGGTCGGGACATTGGCTGGATAGCAAACGCAAAATATTCTCTTCGTCACGTTCCACATTGTGCAGATCAACAGTTCCCCTTTATAACAAATTATTCATAGATTTTATTCTATATTGACTCAGCATGGACTACATTTTGTAGCAAAAAAGATACATTGCATTTTGCGCCAAAATTTGCTCAATTTTTCATGTAAGTACTATTAATTATGGAGTCGATTTTTATTATATTTTGTGTGCGCAAAACAAACAAAACAAAACATGTTTACATGTGTCTTTAAAAGAAATCTTTTTCACTTCTTGCAAATAAACTAAATCAAAAACTACAGAATCAAAAATAATCTCAACTAAAATAAACTGGCTGTGGTAAGATGAATCACGTTAAAGCGCATATATGCATCCAAAGTCCTTTGAAAAAGTTTCTCGCGTACGAAAATTAACTATCTTTGATTTTTTTAAACACTTCAGAAAGCATGCAGCTATGGCTATACATGGTTTTTAATATAAGCTCCATGGACCATCTCGTTCCGCTATTTTTTGGCGCGCTTCACGACTTCGCAAACATCAAATGTCAATCAACCAACATTTTATACTTAAACGAACTTTTAAAGTTGTAGTTTTCTTTAAAATGGCTAATTTTTGGATCTAGCAGATGAAATTATTCTTGAAGCGCAGTCAGAGAAATCGGACAGACAGCTGTCATGAAAAATCAAAGAACTGTACTAAAAATGACTACTAAAAAGCTGTGCAAAGCATTTAGTTTGTTTTTCTAAAATATTCTGAATGATAAAATCTTTCGCGATCAAGTATTTAAAGTTAGACCTTATTAGTATARATGTCCTTTTTGTTCTATTGGACATTATTWTTTTTTKTGTGTCTTGCTTTTCGGTMTTGGATCCTTAATTATTGGATAYTTGATGAGAATCGATGTTTAAGAATGTTTATTCGATCTTTATTACTGATTTTTTTGTCCTTATAGATATTTCAGGTTTGCTCGTATTTTGGGCTCTTCTTAATAGACGTAAATTTTATCGTGACGTCTTCTGTCTTTGCTGAAACTATTAAAAACAAAAACAAAAAAACGAAATACCATCAAAGTAAAAAGTGGGGTCCCCTAGACCACGCCACGATACGTTTAAACTAGCCTCTACCTACAGTTGAAATCACGACTTTCCTGCAAAGCGAGTGCTAGCGTACGGGCCTTCCTCGAACGTCGGGGCGCCTTTCGGTCTTTGTTTATCAAGGAAACTCACGGTGGCTTGCTTGGTTGCATGGGAGGGAATTACCGGCCCCAAGACCATTCACACGCCGTCGCGCACATGATAACCCCTAGCTTTGGCCAAGCTRCTACTTRCMTYTAAAATACGTACCTTTTATAGCACAGCATCAACGTATCATCTTCAATGTGGGAACCAATTGAGCTTGGCATATCGTAAGCACGCACGCATGCGCAATCAACGATTGATAGTATAGGCTAATATATCACAACAAAATATATTTGAGTGACAGCCCACGAAATACAGCATTTTGAACAATAAATAACWKCACTAATTGTGCGATAAAAGATGCTAAATTTGCCGCTAAAACTTGTAAATAAAGAGCTCTTTATAGGCTATGTAAGAGTTTTGCAGCACGCAGCAAATGCTGTAGMTACTACTGCAGATTAATTTCAATATAGGAGTTCATATCAGTTGAAAAAAGTGAAAAAAAAGCATGTCGAGTTTGTAGCGAGTTTTAAAACGTTTCGAGCCCGCGTTGAGCCATTTTCGAAAATAAAGTATTCAAGCACGAATGCACTTACATAATACTTGATTATATCGAATGAATATAGATGCGTGAAGTCTTAAAAGGACATCAGTGAAATCACTATAGCAGTTTTTATCAAATGATCCATTCGAGTGTTTCAACTTCAGACTTGAATACTAAAGTTTGCTTCATACTAAAAGTAGACGTATGGCAGAATACCATCAGACGTCAAWTAGATCACGCTACCTGAAAACCTTCGAATACACGTACTCAAAGTTTCGAAGGAGTATTCAATACTTGTGTATCG